CCCCAAAACCCCAAAACCCCAAAACCCCTCAACACCAAAGAGAAATTGGCAATTTTATAAATTTAAATTTGATATTAGAAAATGATACTAAAGATATTTTGATCAGATATTATTCACCTGGAATTATCTTAGAATACCTTAAAAATAACGGAGAAATAGAAACTAAATCTATTGATCTGCTCAACCTGACCCCTGAGACAGATGTGAATGTGCTTGTCAACCAGACCTTGTTTGAAGAACCAACAATTTCAGATGAAAAGAAGACCCAGCTCAAAAAGTTGATTTTTAAATTAATCGTAAAGCTTGAGAGCAACCAGGAGCAAGAATTTGAAGAATTTAAGGTTCTGAAAGCTCATATCTTACCTCTGACCAACTTGCTTTTAATAAGAATGAATATAAGTTCATCACAAGCAGCTATGACAGAACTTGTAAGGTATGGGACACCATCACTGGTAAAGAACTACTTAGTCTAGAAGGTCATAAAAATGTTGTCTATACAATGGCTTTTAATAAACCTTTTGGAGACAAGATTGTCGCTGACTCCTTTGATAGGACTGCTAAGCTCTGGGATAGCAATTCAGGCGATTGCCTTTACACCCTGGTTGGGCATACGATGGAGATTGTCTATCTTGTGTTCGATCCTAATGGATGGAGTATGAAGTATTATGAGTATTTAGATTATATTGTTTAAAGGTTCCGAGTCTGTCAGTTGGATTCATCCTGACCTAGAAAACGCAAACCTAACACTATCCTAATGGATATTTGTTAACAACCGGTTTCATGGACGGTACGGCAAAGATCTGGGATGTAGAATTAGGACAGGAAATTTACACACTCAAAGGAAACACAGCTGAAATGGTCAGTTTACAGTTCAATTTTGATGGAGCTCTCGTGCTGACAGGATAATTTGATAACACAGCAAAGATTTGTGATGTGAACACTGGAGAGGTAATTCGTACTCTTTCAGGGCATACAGCTGAGCTGTCATGTACTCAGTTCGATTTCACAGAGGAATATTTAGTAACTGGGTCTATTGACCAGACATGTAAGCTATGGGATGTTGGAACAGGAAATTTCATCGAGACTTTTAGGGGCCATAAAGAAGAGGTCTTAGATGCCTGCTTCAACTCAACTAGTAACAAATTGGCAACTGCTCCTGGAGACGAGACTGCTAGGATTTATAATGTATTTACTAGGTCATGTACTCAAATCCTTCATGGGCATAATCAAGAAATATCAAAAATCTGCTTCAACCCGCAAGAAACCAAGATTATGCCTGCTAGTGGAGACCAGACATGTAAGTTATGATCCGCAGAATCAGGGGAAGAACTTCAGATTTTAGAAGGACATGAAGACGAAATCTTCTCTTGAGCATTTAATTATGAAGGAGATACTATTATTACTGGATCCAAAGATAACACATGTAGAATCTGGAAGGACGAGCCAAGCCTTATAAAGCAAGAGCAGCAATAGAAGAGGGTGGGTAATAACCCACTCAAAATAATGGCTTTCTCATTATAATTTAAATTACCCAAATAATGGAAACGCATTTCGGGGTTTTGGGGTTTTGGGGTTTTGGGGTTTTGGGG